TATTTTTTTAAAGGTCAAACTATAGGGCTGTGCGGCATATATTCAACGTTTATAAGCTCCGAACTCCAAAGAGTTTAAACTAACACTAAATTTCTTAACTACCCTACCTTAACTGTAGGATTACCACAGATTTCAATATAAACAATATGCATATGTATATTTACTGGTAACATTCCCAAGTTATGTCTTTATGAGATGAAACATAGAGATCATAGCTGGGAACCAGTACGTAAACAAAATTAATTATCTATGAATATTCTATATCTCCCAAAAAGAGGCGTGGTTTGAAAAACAGCTGTATTTACAAAGTGCAACCTTGAATTGCACGACAATGCATGCAACTTTTTCTTTTTTCAGAAGCCACCAACAATGAAGTAAATACGTAAGTAATTTGTTCTTTGTTTTGTTTGAAAGGTTATAAAGAACACAACAACGGAAGTTCTGGTTGTTGTCATTATTTCTAGCTACTTGTACGAAATTATTCGAACAATAATAACTTGCAATGTTATTAGAATCAATTTGGCAATTACATTTGTTTTAAGATAGATAAAGAAAAAAAGGAGTTATCAAAGGATGGATGAGTTAATTTTGTTTTGTTGATTAATTTGTATTTAAGCAAATCAAACTCAGTCTGGAAATTTTTTTCTTGAGTTTAAACACATCATATGCATATCTGTCTTTTTCTTTTCAATATGTTGCAGCCTCTCAGTTTTTATGCGACTGCCATACAAGTGAGAGGTTTAGTTAGCTATAAAACCAGGTTTAATCCACCATTTTCTACATAAGGAAATTCCTAGTCAGGAATATGACATTTTCCATTCGTTTCATTTGTTTGAGCTTTTGATGTTGCCATTTGTTAAGGGACTTTCCGTTTTTTTTTAATTTTCCTTGGAGTCCGATATTTTTGTTATTTTACTTTTTTCAGTAAGCATTGCGTCTGCACTACCATGGTATATAACATACTTTTATAATTGTTTGTTAATAAGATAATTAAGAAACACAGGTTCATAGTACTATTATATATAAAATGGACCTATGTTGGATTTGTCTTTTCTCTTTAGGTATAATACCTACTCGTGTATTTTAGTGATTATACATCATGCGGTTTCAAATATTCAGGTTTAGGAGTTCCTGGTAAAGGCCAATAAAGAAAAACACTTTTGACGCATCAATAATTATAAAGTTATATATTTATTAATAAAGATGAACACTATTGACTGTTTTTCTCTTGTTTCTAGATATTCGCCATATAACTTATCGGTTTAGGGGAGGGGGTTCTATTAATTTAGTGTAAAGGATTATCATCATGCCATTGAATACGTTGGACTACTTTTTTTGTTATTTATATTTTAAGCAGATACATATATGTGAATATGAAGGTATACATTTTGCATTCAAGTGCTGTTAACCAAAGCTTACCTCATGTTTGGCTTTGTTGATATGTCTCCTGATTTCTTCTTCAAATACGACTTATAACCTTTTATTACACATTTTTTTATAAAGAAAAATAGATTTCATAGCTTTATTTTTTCAATTTGGTTATTTTCCTCCATAGTTGTTATGTTTCTTCATTGAAATACAGATTCCTTATGTATCATAGTATTTTTTTTCTTTTTAGATAGAAAATGTGCATTAGAGGAATTTCTTACACTGTGGTCAGTTGTACAGTGAATTATAAACCAGACTAGTAGGCAGTTCAGCAGCTGCAACTCAGTTGTCATTTTTTATGAACTTTTTTGTAATTCCTTTATTTAATGCTTTTGATTGAAAAAAGATATTTCAAAATGTAAAAGATTCTTCCAAATTTCTATTGTGTTTTTTTGCTACAATTTTTTTTTTAATTCCGTAAATAAGTAACCGGAACATAATTTTGTTTTTGAAAAAAAAAATATATTGAAGTGGTGGTGTTGTAAGGCCAATACAATTGTTTTTCTCGATTATTGTACACTCAGTAACAATAAATAAATTAAAGTTTTGTTGTTTTTATAGTATAAAAGAACTAAAACGAGTGTGCAAAGACCATATGTACAAAAAGATTAAATAGGCAGTAGGAATTTCGTCATTGCATTTTTAGATTTTCATTATGAATAGGAAACTTTACTCTTAAATTCCAACTAAATTACTGCTTTGGCTATTATTATTTTCTTTATCAAGTGTTGCTACTTACAAGAACTAATGCTTCTTCATGTGAAAAAAATTAAATTCAGTCTATTGAATGTTGAAAGCTCGACACTTTATGATTTGGTTGACTTTTATAAAATGACAATACAATCAACGATGTCAATGTACCTGCACTAGTTGCACATTTCGACATTTAATTTCTGTACAGTGAAGATCGAAGCCAAACTATTTGAAATTCCAAAACCTACTACAAACTTTGAAGAGCAGATACGACAAAATAACTAAGAGTCAAGCCAAAACCGTACAAGGATCCAGAGCTTTGCAAGAAGGACAACTGCTGTGTTCAATTTCTTGTACTACGATCTTTATTCCTTTAAAAGAGAGGCGAAAGATACCAAACGGGCATTCAAACTTAGAAGTCGAAAATGAATTGACAACGCCATGGCAAAAAAAAAAAGACAAGAAGACAAATAACAGTATACAAAATACAGCATAGAAAGTTAAATACTGAGCAACACGAACCCCACCAGAAACCGGGAGTGATCTCAGGTGCTCCGGAAGAGTAAGCAGATCCTGCTCCACATGTGACACCCGTCGTGTTGATCAGGTTAGTACAAACCCGGAAATAAGTCTAACTCGGTAGGTCACATGTATCAAAATTAAATCATCGAATGCCATTAAGAACCAAAATAACAGGATGGGTGCCACTGAAGTAGCTGGTGTAACTGGTTTTTTTCTTCGGGAAAACTTTACAACAGGTTGTTTTGTGTGTTGTCTCCCTCAATCTGCGGTTTCTTTTTTTTAATGTTGTTGTGGACTTATATAAAACCTACTGTGTTAAAATGACGTGGCAATAATTAATGTCGGAAAAAGAGAAAAAATACCTATTAGATAGAATTATTGGGCATTTCGATTTATATCTCTTGTTGTGAATGTACAAGGAACATGCAATATATTTATGATAAAATATTCCTAAAAGTTAATTTGATGAATAATTTGGAAAATATTTCATAAGATGGGGTTTTTTACATACTTACTAATATTGTTATCATGTTGCTAATAATAAATGTACAAGCTCGTAAACATTTGCTGTGCGTATGTGTGAAAATATGCGTTCTATTTAGAAACTGGCGGAATAAATCATATGAAACAGCATATTAAATCGTCACTTAAGCATATTTAATTTTGGGAATGATTGTTAGTTTGTTTTCAATTGACTTATGTGTTTTTTTTTTAATTCCTTGATATCTTTTCCTTTTCCCTTAAAAATCATCAAGGCATCCCCCGTTAAATAATTTTAATAATACCTTTAGCTATCTTTAGCAATATGCCCTTTTCTAATGATTCTAAAAAAGACTTTCCAATGAAATTCAAATGATGCGTAACAGTTGTTCCTGGAATAAATGCATAATCTCCCTATCAAAAAAACTTTAAAAATGGTTGTTGGTATCTTCCTCTACATTTTGTCAATTGATAATTACGGATTGATGTCCATCTTTGCATTTTGTTTACCAAATTTGTTGGCTGTTGAAACTTTAGTTACGTCGTCTTTAAGATGACTTCTTGTTTTTAAGTTAGTGTTTCCGGGTAGATGTTTCATTCAATAGATATAGGAAGATGTGGTATGAGTGCCGATGAGACAACTCTCCATCCAAGTAACGATTTATAAAAGTAAACCATTATAGGTCAAGGTACGGCCTTCAACACGGAGCATTGGCTCACACCGAACAGCAATGTTTGTTATCGTTATATCTATTCATATTAACATATATCTCTTGGTTTAATAACAGACTGAGCATAAATGATATATCTTTATTTCCGTATCTAGTTTTCAGATTAAAGAAGATCTGTTACAATTCATTTTGTAGTGTGGCGTTCGTTTTAAGTATATGTATCAAATGATTACATGGAAATGCTGACATAAACAGCAAATTTGGCGCATTCTTGTGCTGACATTATTGAATGATCATTTATAGAACATAATTATCAATTAACTGCTCATACAACTTAGAATTTTTCGAAATACTGAGGATTTCTACCCCAGAAAAAAATTATCATAGCTGTATTTGGCAAAACGTTTCGGAATTTTGGGTTCTCGATGCTCCTCAACTTCGTACTTTATTTTTTATTTTTTTGTTTTAAACTTTTTTGATTATAGACGAAATGCGCGTCTGGTGTACAAACAAATTTAATCCTGGTATCTATGATGAGTTTATTTTTTTTTCATATAAATGACAATTACTTATATTACGAGAAGTCCAAAATTTGTCCAAAATAATATTTCATACTTCAAAGGGATATCGATATTTGTGTTCATATTAGTAATTTGTAGTCAAAAACGATCTAAACCAACTGTTTTAATTCAAAGATAGTTGTTTGCTTATACTATATTTAGCGGCCAATGGCAACATATGTCAATAACAAATAAACAATTAATACAATACGCACAAAAGGTAGTTGGTGCAAGGTAGACAGATCCGAAAAAGAGTGCGTAATTTGGACTTCAATTGGAAAAAAAGAAAAATAACAAAGATACCGAACTCAAAGGAAAATTCAAAACGGAAGGTCCCTAAACAAATGGCAAAATAAAAAGCTCAAACACATCAAACAAATGAAAAACAACTAATGGAAAGAGAAGGTATGTTACATAGGAGCAACATGTTTGCCTTGCAATAGGAAACGGACGGATCGTTTGGCTGGGTTTTTATACATATGACGATCAGGATTTACTGTATTTCTCTATCCCAGACAACTCTTTGGATGCAAACAAACTGCTACAAATTTCATGAATAAGAAAATAAGTTTTGAATAAGAGTTTCCGAAAAGATTGTGTTGTAAGGAAAAACCAAATGTCCGGAAATATAAAACATGACAAGCAATAGAATGTAATTTGAGTAATTATATCCAAATGTATCTATGCACAAACCCAATTACTACGTTTTAAGCATCGGTTTAAGATTTCAAAGTGTTTATTTTTTTATGATACATTGTAACTGAATAGATTTTGCGTTGCATTTAGCAAAATGTTTGTCTAAAGCATCAAACTCGGTACATTGTGTACCGTTGATATTAAAAATGAGAGGATAGTCGTAATTTGAGGTGATATACGAATCAACATTCAATCATTTTGATACAAAAAAGGGATCCACGAATACTCTTTAAATGCTTCCCCATTATATTTTATATTTTATTATAAGTAAGAAAAGTAGATATGATATAGCTAAACAAAATTATCATTTCGAACCAGGAGACTGTCTTTGGAGTTTGTAGCTTTAATACAAAATGTCAAATTCACTTTAAACTGCGATGAAGAAGCCAATAATATTTTAAATAATGTTCACGTAATAGAGCAGCACGATTGTCTAGGGATGTTTATATTTGTAGTTCTTCGAGAACTGTAAGTATGTCTTGTAAGCGCTGTACCTGTTGAACTTGTTTGCCCTTCGATATTATGCGCCAACTGCTCCCTCTGTGAGCATGATAGATAACTGCTAAGAATTTCAACTATTTCATTGTGCCTTTTCTCGCGAGCGATACACAATGCGGTACTGTTGTATGTTGTTCGAATGTTCGGTTTTGCACCATTACGTAATAGCAGTTTTACAATTTCAACTTTGCCCCTTTTTGCAGCTGCAAATAAAGGCGATTCGTTATCATCATTACAAATGTTTACGTCACCTTTATTTGCTATGAGAAATTCAACAACTGTAAATTTACCTTGATGTGCAGCAATGAACAGTGGTGATTTAAGATATTGTGTTAAAGCATTAACATTCGCTCCATTTGTCAGTAAATGTTTAACAATTTCCGCTTGACCCTCCCGGGCAGCATAGAATAATGGTGAACACTTTTTAGAATTTACAATATTAGCATCTGCTTTATTTTGTAGCAATATTTGCACAATATTCTTCCAACCATACCAAGAAGCTATTGAAAGTGGCGTTCCATTCTTCTTTGTATGCAAATTAGGGTTGGCCTTATAATTTAACAATGTATTGACCATATCGAAATGACCTTCTCTCGAAGCGAGCCATAATGGTGATTCGTTATTTTCATTTATGATGTTAGGATCACATGTTTGGTTCATGAAAAAATTAACAATTTCTAAGTGGTTGTTGTTTGCTGCCTCGTGCAGTGGAGTTCTGCCTGCAAAAAAGTCGTCCTGCCTACATCTGTAGCAATCCTGCTTTGTTTTGAATAGCATCTTCACAATATCGAGATATCCTTTTGATGAAGCAATATAGATGGCTGTCTCTCCTTTGTGCCAATAATCCTTCCGATATATATGCGGGTCACAATCATGAGCAACTAACAATTTCACCATGTTTGTATGACCCTCTTCTACAGCTAAGTAGAGAGGCGTTCTACCCATTTTATCACGGACGTTTACGTCAATGTTGAATTTTAAAAGCATTTCAGCGATATCGTAGTGTCCTTTCTTCACAACGTCTAGAAACGGAGATTCTCCTGAAAATAAAATTGATGTTTCTTTTAAGTTTATTCGTCGCTGTATGTTTTCTACAAACTTGCAACGGAATGATTCAAATTGCAACTGTCTATTTGTAAAAACATTGCATCCAAATCCACTGACTATATCTTTATAAAGACGATCAAAATATTGATCTTCTCGGTTCTTATCAACCTTAATGATACATTCATCCATCTCTTCTTCTATGGATTCAAATTGAAATCGATCACGAATAAATTCGGGTGGACAGAAGTCTAGAAGAAGGTCTTCCATATGCTCTCCACAAAACGATGACAAAATATCAAATAATTTATCATGAATAACACGATATTTATGTCTGGTTTTCTTTACATACGAGTTCCTGAGACTCTCAATCTGATTCCTCACAACTGCAAAGGACAAATGCTGGGATGTTATATATATATCAGAAAGATGATTCAAAATATCTTTCATTGCTTTATTACGATGAGACAGGTCTTCCTCTGTGATACAGTTATTGTATAAAACAAACAGAGATAGTGTTGCGATGGCTGTCTGGTCATTTTCTTTCATGAGGGACAGTAAATCATCTTTGATAATTTCTACCGGACTAGAAAAGAACTTCACTATGTCACAGGTACTTTTAGAAAGAAAAATCCGACATAAGAGTGGGAAGCAGTCGAACTGTATGAGATTTTTATGTCTTTTTAACGTTTGAATTTGCTCAGAAGATAGATATTTTTCAGCAATAAGATATCTTTCTTCGTCAGACAAGGCATACTTAGCATTTATCAAATCTATACTTTCTGCGGATACTGTAAATCTCTGAAATTTTTTATCATTGAAAATATGTGATCGACATGTCATGAAAAGTTTTATTTTGTTCTGCACCAGGATCTTATGTATATCACCCGAAAGTCTATTCCACGTGTCTAGCGATTGCACGTCTATAGAATATTTGCCACACAAATCATCAAAAACAAATATCTGATGGCTATATGGGTTATAATATTGTGTTATATCAGTTGGAAAATAGGCCGGTATTATATCATAGTCCTGTTGATCATGTAATGTTAAGGCTACGTAGTGGACAGATGTAGTCTTCCCGCATCCTGATGGGCCAATAACAAAAATGACGTTTTTCGTAGCAGTCATGTCTTCCAATGCTTTAATAGCTGTTGTTTCAACTATATCTTTAACTTCGTCTCTCCATTCTTTAATTTTTTCATCATGAACATCTAAAGAGAAAAAAAGAACCGTTTGTTACACACGTTTTAGCAATATTTCAGTTTTGGTTGATATCATGATGTGCATTGGTAAATATATATGCAACTTAATATTCCATTCTTGGAAAGTAAGGAAAATCATAATATGTTAAAATGCTAGGTTTATTATATATACATAAAATAGCTAAACAAGTGCAAATTTTGAAACCAGAACATTTCAAAAGATAACACAATTTCAAAAGATAACACACATTAAAAAGATAACACTTTAAATTACTTATCACTTATACAAAAAGAAAGTGTATTCATATGATCGATGTGTTGTTTTTTTTTTCCCAGTTACTTTTATAAAAATGAATATAATGCCGAATGTGAAGTACTTCAGAAATAATTCTTTTTTTTTCTTTTTGTCTTCATTCCCAGAAAACAATGAACCACTGACCTTGCAGTCCTTTCGGTACTGGATTTCTAGTTACATTTAAATTCTTGATTTCTACCAATATTTCCTTATCAAGCTTGTAATTTTGAAGGTCATGGCATATCGCTTTAAAACTCTCGCCTCCAAGTCTTATAATCGCCTACAAAAAAATGTTTAGGACAAACGTAATAAGTATGCACTTAATCATATCTTGAACATGTTTAATATGGATGAGTTCATTTTCGTCCTTAATTGTATTTGACAAAACCTTTCGGAATTTAGGGTCCTCAATGCTCTTCAAATTCGTACTTTTGGTCTTTTTTAACGTTTTTGATTCGAGAACCACTGATGAGACTTTTGAAGACGAATCGCGCGTCTTGTGTACAAAATTTTCATTACGCTATCTATTATAAAAAGTAGAATAACAGTTATACTGAACTCCAAGGAAAATTCAAAACAGAAAGTTTCTTATCAAATGGCAAAATCAAAAGCTTATAATCATGTTCTTTTTTCCTAATATGAATAAAGAAAGAAATTGTTAGGGAAAATATGAACCAGAATTTGATGCAAAATATAAGTTCAATCTGTCATATGTTCGAAAAAGCATGGCGGCTGATGCATGCATAGCAATTGACGCGTACACTATCATTACGCGTGATGTCTTTTCGTTTAGATTTAGCCACATTGAATCGCATATTGTTGCAGATATGAGGGTAACGTCAATGATACAACAACTGAGCGGCACACACGCAAAACAAACTATATAAACCTCATTTAGAATCAACATACGGCCCAAGACAACATTCATGTGTCTATAATACATTATAGTTCAGTCCAATCTCATTATGAGAGAGCCAATCAGCTGGTAGATTAATGTTATCGAGATGATTTTTTTTTGACGATTTGGCTAATGTTGACAGCGACTGTATTATTCGGGTAATATGCCGGCATGTAAATCTAGTCTAGATAAGTTGGGAATAAATCACACGGGAACTTTTAATTGTTTGCAATCAACACTAAATTTATTTTCTAACAAAAAAGCATTCAAATATATCTAAATGCAGCATTACTTGATAAAGGCATATGCAAGTGTTGCGAGGGTTAAAACTTATGTTTTAGAGATCTTTTCTCTCTCTCTTTTTAATTTCGATCAATGGAATAAGAGATTGAAAATAAGAGTTTAAACATTTAACCATATATTTTACAAATGTGAAGTAATATCTTATCGAGTCAGACAGAATTTTATCATATGTTTATAAATTACCTTGCTAATTGCGTCCCATTGCATATTGAATTCTTCTTCTGTCATTGTTTTATGATCGGAATGGGCAATTTTGTTCCGATAATACTTAGTTCTTGTCAAATCGGCTTCGATACTGTCATCTGTATCAGGGGGTAAATTGTCTTCTACTTTGATGTTAGCCAAATTCCGTAGTAAACAAATCATTAGAGTTAAATCGAATGATAGCGATGATGCAGCACCTATGAGGAAAATCATTGTTTTAAGTTCAAAATTACAGAATGTGCATTCGTTAAAAGTGAAAAAAATGATATCATTATCTATTACTTTTGGAGATGGAGGGAGTTCTATTTTGTTGTTGTTCTTTTGTATTTTTGTTTCGGGGAGATATATGGTCGAATCTTACACGGATTTTTTTTCTATAATACAATGAAGGGATGTAATAAGTGGCTTGTAGTAATACGTATATATAATATTGAGAAATCAGTAGGTTCGGTTCTGTTTTTGTTAACATCTGGCATGTATATGTGTATGTTCAATAGACATAAGTTCCAGCCAAAATTATATTGTCAGTTTTTAAACATGGCTTGATAACAGTTTAAGTCTAACATAACACATAATATTATGAAAATAATGATATTACCGACTGAAGGAAATAATAAGTCCCATTGAGTTTGATTTATTATCCGCTTTGATTTCAGAGATTTTAATGTTTTAAATCTGTTCTGATTTAAAACAGCTTGAAGACCTCCAGGATTAAATTGCTTGTCGAAGTATACCCTCACTGCTGGTGGAGCTATTTTAAATACTAAATTTGCTATCCGCAAATGATTGTTTTCGTGGTCATTTTCTTTCGTACTGTCACTCATCGCAAGTAGTTATGTTGATGAATCTACTAAAAGAAAAAACAATTTAATTCAACTGAAGAATTATACATTTGTGGGTTAATGTCTTAATAAAACAGACGAAGATTGGAAAACATCAATAATCATGAATTTTAAAGAAAGACGTAATACACATTGATTAAATATGTTTTATGTTGTTATATGTTATACATTAAGAAATACATATATATGTGAGCCACGGTGTTAAAGTGCAAAAATATATTGCTATCACATGACTCATACATATAAATGCAATCTGACATATATTAGTGCAGTGATGGTTGTACAGATTATACAATTCTAGTATCTAGTTCTAATTCCATGCCCAAATAAAAGCTAATATACAGTTATAACACAGGTTTTTAGATTTCGTAAACTTTCAACTTTACTGTACGTTTACATGTACATGTATCCTGTGGAGCACATCAATGTATGTAAATTGACTTGAGTGTGAGAGAGGTCGTGAGTTCGATTCCTGACCGGGTCAAATGTCTTAAAAAAGACAAAAACCGCATTAAGAAATAAATAATCATTCTTCAAGATCTTTTGGGGGAATAAATTGTAATGGAAATGAAATCAATTTGAGCTGTCTTGACCTCATTTTCCTATAAAATATTGAAATTTAAATAAAATGCAGTCTCTTGACTACATTACATACTGAACAATTCAAGCACTAGTAATAACGGAAATTGTATCAGTCATCAACAGTATTAAGAATGTTTGTATTACTTCAGTGTTCTTTACTGTGTAAAAATATTTGTTTCTTTTACTAAGGATATGTGATTAGGGAGATTTACATGTAAATTGGATTTCCATAATACTTGTCTTAATGACTTTTATGACTTTTTTTTATCTTAGTTTATATAAATAAATGCCTATAATGTTACTGCTATATAAAATCTAAAACAAAAATTGAAATGACTAGTGCATAACATTATTATGAGGACATATTTGTTGTTATTATTTTCATGCAAATGGTATATAAATCAACAAAAAAATTTAGAAGTATGAAGATGCAAAATTAGCATCAACTCTTGACTCTTAAGGTAAATGGTTTTTAACTATAAAAAGAACCATTTCAGTCTTTAATTTGTGAATAGATTGGTTATCCTGGTGTCCTAAAAGAACTGTTCTAAAGAAGAAGAATCAACTAACCACGGTCCTATAAACATCAGACATAATACGCCAAGCCAGGAGCCTCTAATTCAATGGTTGTCGTTTGTTGCTTTATATCATATTATTTTTCCTGCATTGTTTTGTACATCAATCAGGCCATTAGTTTTCTTATTTGAATTATTTTACATTTGTCATTTTGGGGCCTTTCATAGCTAACTAAGCGGTATAGGTTTTGCTCATTGTTGAATGCCGTAAGGTGACCTATAGTTGTTAACTTCTATGTCATTTGGTCTTTGGTAGAGAGTTGTTTCATTGGCCATCCTATCACATCTTGTTATCTTTATATTTATAAGATGCAGAACTTCTGTTTTTATTCAAAAGTTTAATAAAGCATTTGAAAATTCTAAGCTCCATTATGCTTTTTTGGAACGGTATATAAATACACTTGAAAAACGTTTTATTGCATAAATACGAACTTCAAAAGCGAATAATTGGTAAATAATTTGATTTTCAGCATTTGATTCTGTTTAAGTATATACAAAATTATCACATAGAACGTTTATGCATGTTTTTAGGTTTATAATTTCAACTTCTTTGATAAAAGTTGTTTTTTTATCTTTTTTTTTTTTATTTATTTTTTGCTAAAAGAATATAACAATGCGTAATCATTGACAGCTCCAAAATAAGGATATCAAAAATAAACTTTCATTGATTTTTTAAATGAAATTGGTAAGGAAGTATTCAAATAAGAAAACATAATTTGCGTACAAATATAATAAGTGTGTACATAATAGGCATACAACTATAACACCACTTCAAATACGAACGACATTGTTTCGTTTATATTTATCGTAAGATCTATTATCAATAACACTTAACTTGATGACGAACAATTTTGGTTGTTGGCTTTGCCTGTAACATCATTACATTTCTGTTTATTTTTGCCATATCTTTTATCTTTTTTTCTCTTTTTTCACTTTTTGGGGGGGTATTTCCAAGAAATACTGTTTTGTTTTTATACAGTAAAGCTGATTTTTTCACTAAATTATTAACGTTTGATAGAACATAGGTCATTCAGTTAAAAATGTTAAAAGGAAATCATTCATTTTATAAAGGGAGTTGAATAGAACATTGTTCATTAAGTAAAATATATTCGACAGGATATCGGTCACACAATAAAAAAAAAAGTTCAATTGAACATTGTTTAACTATTAAAAACATAAAAAGCATCAGTCTCTCAAATAATGATATTCGATATAATATAGGTCATTCAATAAAGGAAGTTCGACAGAACGGTCATCACATAAAGGATATTTTACAGATCATCTGTCATTCAATGAGGGAGATTCGATAGAATTATGACGAATTAATTGAAGACGTTGAATCAAACATTGGTAACTCAATTACAGAAAATCGAGTAAGTGATCAATGTCTTAGCAAATTAATTTGATAGATCATTCAATTAAAGACGTTTGATAAGACATATGTCATTTAATAAATGACGTTCGATTGAATAAGGGCCTTTCAATTATTTACGTTGGTACCAGCGGTCCCTCCTTAAAGGACGTTCGATAGGACATCAATCATTCTAATACTTATGTTTGATATACCATTGGTTTAAAGATTATTTTTCACGCAATTTAGATCGTTCCATAAAACATTGTTCATTCAAAACATAAGGTCTGTAAAGTATCGGTCACTCGATTTAGAATATTTTATGGTCTATCGGTCATTCAGATATTTATGTTTGATAGATCGTCAGTGACTCACGAAAAGACGTTCAATATACATGTAACATTAGTCACTCAATTGTGAAAACTCGTTCTATTTTACCACTGGTACGAATGACCATGAAATAATCACACTTGCTGGCTTCAAACCACACTTAATTCTCTGTGTTCGTGGTCTAGGAATATAGTTACCAAGTATTATATGGGGTATTTCTTCGGGAATATTCTGACTACTATTTCTTTAAAAAGTTTACTATTAAAGTGATGATGATGAGGGGGTTTCAACGACCTTGACTACCGAAGAGTCTTGCAAGGTCGGTAGCTACTAACAGTGGTCCTGTCAAATGCATATATATTGTAATATTTAAATAAGTATTACATGTGTGAAAAAAAAATATTGTTGAAAGTAGTGATTTGGCCAAAATGAAGTAGAGTAGAAATTAACCTTTTGCAATTATTCAAGATTCATGTTAATAGGGCTCTCAACAGAAAAAGCAGCGATAGATTGTCTTTGGACAAGCATATTTTATCAGAATAATAATTATCTATAAGCAGTTAAATTTATTTCATGTTTGAACCATTGCATTTTTGTAACTCAATTTGGCTTTTATAAAGAAATGCATTGTAATCAATGGTAATAATAATTGTGGTCTTAGGCTTGCTTGTCAATAATCATATCGTGAATTTTCAATTAATTGAATCTTAGACAGACTACACAACAGCGTAGAGTTTGTTCTACTACGAATATCATTGAATTTTCCTCGGAGTTCAGTATTTTTGTGATTTTACTTTTTATTCATTAAATTAATATTATATAATCGAGTTTTTTTTCTATTTGCTATTTTAATCTTTGATACCACTGAGGAGTATAATGTGTATATGTAATAAGATACCAAGAATTCGGAGAATAATGTGGTACATTGAATAATTATATTATTCTTCATATAGCATATTACGAATATTTAATTAATTATGTCACACTTTCAACCACATGTACTTCCTAAAACACTTCCTGTTAACTTACAACTGACCTTTTTTGTAAATAGCATAAACATAAATACATATTCTAGTACTTCCTTCGCTTTGTAATCGACACAGTAGTACAATTCGCTATATATCTATACATGACCCAGACTCAGAGATGTACATATTAGAATTAAGGCGAAAGATACCAAAGGGACATTCAAACTCGTAATTCGAAAATAAACTGACAACGCCATGGCAAAAAAAACAACAGTACACAAAACACAACATGGAAAACTAAAGACTGGGCAACACGAACCCCACCTAAAATCTGGTGTGATCTCAAGTGCTCCGGAAGGGTAATCAACCGTCGTGCTGCTCATGTAAGTACAAAGCCGGTGATAAGTCTTATTATGTAGGTAAATGGCAGTAACAATTCAATTCAACTGAACATCCACGTGTCTTGTAACATAGGTGCAAACACAAAGGTTAATTTCGCTGTACAAAAATCGAAATTGAAAACAAACTACAGAACTAACTTGAAATTCCATGAAAGCTTTTGGCGCATTAACGTTATTTTAAAATTTGACGAATGAAAACTCTCAAGCTGAATGTTATTCTCTAACGTGTATGCTCCAAATTTAGATATTATTGAGAGTTTTGAGGTCGGTGTTGTTTTATTTTCTTGTTTATTGCATTAGTCGTACGTTTGTGGACTTCAACAAGTAAACATGGCGATTTACTCCATAACTACGACATGTCAGCTGTGTATTTGATGGTAAATAGTAGCCAACAAAAAAATTAGGGTTGATAATCATGAAAATGAAATAAAAAATAGTTGATGCAAGCATAGATTATTTTGGAATTTTTAGTTAATTAACAGGGGGTAAAATAGAATAGCCACAATCACGGCAAATTTATCTTCACTTAGATTTTTGAATTACCGTTTTTGTCATATTATAGTCGAAAAGATTTATGTAAGCCATTCATTTGTTATCATTTTCACATAACATTGCATAACCTGGACTGTTACATTCGTTAATGTTATTCCTCGCTAACGGTCTGGATAAAATTCCAATATAACGGCCCAGGCCATGTGAATATTTCATACAAAACTATGGCTAGAATGAATTATTTCTTTATTATCAAATGGTTGTGTAATTTATTATGTATTTCCCACATGAATATATATTTCTCTTGAGTATGCGAAAAGAAAAATGCGTTGATAAGTTGAACCAACCAGCAACGTGTTACGAAACTGAGATATTTCCGATTGATATTCGTTAGGTTAATGATGACTTTCAAAAGTCACATTCCCCATTGGCAATGGATATTTGTGATTCCTTAAATAATATACAAAACATTCACTTGTTTCACATGAAAATATACTTTTAGTCAATTTTATGTAGTTCTGAAACGTTACCAAACTTAGAAACTTCTGATATTAACAGTAGTTTTGGTTCTTGGTCCAATATTCTCAAAACCGTATGGGGAATTATATATTTGGAGTGAAGCTTGCAAAACCGAAAATATTTCACCAGAGAAAGATCACTTTTACCATTACATAAAAAGGATAAACAACGCTTGAAAATTGGATATCGCAGATCGCAGTAACTGATGCATATATCTTCGCGTCCGGTCATTTCGATCGTCCGGTAGGTTCGTTCATTTCGTAAACATAATGTAAAAATTACGAATTTGAATGAAAAGTTAAATTACCAACAAGCATCGTAACGATACAGCATTTTATTTGTCAATGTCATTAGACTATATTACATTGTGTTTTGAATTTAATTCTAAGCTGGAACAAATGTTGATAGCCGGAGAAACTTTAAGTTTGCTACCCTTTAACTATTACTTTTCTTCAAACACATAGTTTAATAGAATTCCAAAAAAATATGTTAACATACCTTAATTAAGCAGGTGTTTGTTATTCAACT